GCCATTTTTTGATTTTCTGAAAAAGTCAGTTATATGTTTGTTTTTGGTTTTATAAGTTTTTCTTTTTCTTTTCTTATGTGGTTGTAAATATCATTTGGTAGTGAGTGGCTCACCACATTCATTATATTGGAACATGGAATTAGATACCTGGTAAATCAAATGCTATATGTTATAACCCTTGTTTTAAAAATCGCTAGGCGCTAGTCGGGCGTTCGGCATGGGCCTAGCGATTAATCGGAAAATCGGATTAAAATCGGGGATTAATCGGAGATTAGTTTTAGGGTTATTTTAATATTTTTAAAATATATTAATCCAATATTGTAAAAATTTATGATTTTTATTACAAATTTATGATTTTTATTAAAATTTGAACACAAGCTATTGTAAAACATCACAAACTCTCCATTCAAATGATTGAATAACAAAAATAAAAAGTTTTTTTATACTTGCAATCTAAAAAATAATCGGGGTATATAAGATTAGGCGGAAAGTAATCGGATTAGGCGGAGAATAATCGGGTTACTGATTTTTTAGGGGATTAGTCATTAATCGAGGCGGATAGGGTGGGCCTAGCGATTAAGCGGGGAGTAATCGGGGCTAGGCGGGGATTTTTAGAACAGGGGTTATAACCAGTAAAGAGATATTTAACATATATCTATGGAAAACGTAATAAAAAGAACTTTGGATTTTGATATAATAAAAGAACTTCTATTTTTTTTTATAGCTGAAATGCTGAATAAAACTCCATCTTATGTTTGATTAAACCATTTTGGTCTAGGTATTAACCATGTGTAACATTTCATTAAATCTCGTTAATAAATGTTTAACAAACCCGTTTAATCAAAACGACATTATTTTGATAAAACTCAAAATCCTTAGTCAAAAAAATTTCAAAAAGAGAGATACCTGTTTATAAAGTTAGATGAGGGAAAAATGCCAATCCATACACATTTTATTAGTGAAAACCACATTTTTAACTTTTAGAGTGTCGTCGGGTAAAATTTTAAACCTCGAGAGAATTTCATTAATACTATAAACCACCAATATATTTTTACTAACACTTTAAACTAGCTTTCTTGTTTGTGTTGCCACAAAAGATGACAGAACAATAACATCTGTCAACAGAATTGTTAAATTATGTTTGTTTAATTTAAATTTTAAGTAATTTAATTGAATTTTACTAGATACCGAAGCACAAGAATCAAAACAAAATATTTGTTTTCTTGTGTGATTTGGATTTTGAAAAATATGCAATTTTAAATTAAACAAATAAAAATTAACTATTTTTCGTTGACGGACATTAATTTTACGTTATTTTTATAGTAGCGCAAAATAGAAAGCTAGTTTTAAGGTTTATAATGTTATAATTACCTATCTAATGACATTTTTAGGTTAAAAATGTGATTTTCCCATTTTATAACCACCGTTTATGAACAAATTGATCATACCAAAAACTACACTAACCAAGATATATCACCCGATTTATATCATACATGAACTCTAGATATTTAGTTGAAATCTGCATTATCTATAACTATACGGTTTAATGTAACCTCCATTAGGGCATCCTCAATGCGGGATCACCTTTGGGTGTTCTTAGAGTAAAAATATTGTTAAAAAAATGTAAGATCAGTAGTTAAGATCTTTTGTTAAAAAGTTTGATTAGTGGGAGAACATGTTTAAGATCATAAGATTTAATAATATAATAATAAAAAACTTTTAAAACATATTACAATTATAAAAACTCTGCCTTTGTATCAGATTGATGAGACAATCAAACAACACAAAATCATATACAATCATGTTTCATTTACAAAAGAATTGATTTATCCACAATGTTTGATCCAAAAAGGGGTTTTGTAAGAGAAAGTTTTCTTCAAGAAAAATCATACCAAGAGATCTCTCATCTCCTCCAAAGTAATCATCACCTGATTCAATCAGAAACACATTCTCTGCACTTGGAAACTCATACTTTGGCTGCAACACTTTCTTCTGTTGCTCTGCAAATTCTTCACAACAATTAGAACAAACAAAAAGTGGAGGCAAAGTATTTGTATCATCAATCCCACAACATCTTGTGTGCTGCCATATCTCACATACATCACATGCTATCATTCTCTCACCATCATCATCTCTAGCACTGCAAACACATCTCACCATCCATATATCACATCCACCTTGAAACTTCAGTTTCGATTCCATATCAATCTCATGACCCCTCACTGTTAAGCGGAACAAGACTCACCTCAAACTACTCTTTTCTTAAACTGGCTTCTAGACTTCTGCTCCTGAGAATCGAAACTCGAATCTTCTTCAACATTTTGCAATTCTTGATCTCTGCCGTGTTCCTAAACAGACGAGAGTTGCAGCAATGCCAAGATAAGTTTCTCAGCATTTCATAGCAATCCACAAGAACGATTCTTTATGGAAATTCCCGTAAAACCTCAAGTTCTTAACACGAGTTTTAGTACTATTAAGCTAACACCATCGGGAAACTTTACAACTACGCTAAAATTGCCTATCCTCTGATAAAACTTCTCTCTCTCCTACTCAGACACAGACGCTATAGAGGTTTAACAGAATGAATGTAAGAAAGAGGAATAAAGTTACCTCCTTTGAGTTGCCATCATCACCAATTTGATTTGATTCAGCTCGTGCAACGGCCGTGATAACTCTCCGGTTAACAGAAATCCAATTACAGCGAGAATGAGACAATGGTTTGGGATCGACGAGACGCAAATTCAAATACTTTTCAGAGAAATGGGGAAGAAGAAGAGATTTTCTCTGAGTGGAACGGCAAGGACATGTACAGAGAGAGCTCAATGAGAGGGGTACAGGCTTATACCTACAGACTTCAACAAAAGGCGCCATTGAAATCCAAAATCAGAAAGGAAAATTAAAACCCTAAAGATTGGATAAAAGGCTAATCTTTACGAAAACGGAATCCTCCGCATCATGGAAGGACCAGATGTTGAAGATTGTGATTCGCTGAATCTATTCGCTGAAATGTTGGTTTCCTTTCCCAATTCTTCCGCCCAATAGAAACTCGCCACGTCACCCCGCAACTCCTTGAAGAACAGATCCAGGATGAGAGCGGGCTGGCTGATCTTAAGCCCAACAAGCCATTATTTTGGATTAAAAAAAGCTAAGATCACCCCCCCCCTGATATGCCATTGAAGATGGCCTTAGACCATCTCCAAGGAGACACCAAAACACCAAATTTGGTGTGAATTCAACTCCAACGTGACACTATAATGGACACCATCTTTTTTATTTTGGTGTTTTGTGAACAGTGTTACACCATATTTGGTGTAACACTCTTAACAAAACACCAAAAAAAAAATATTAGTTTATTTGTATTTTTGATTTAGTTTTATATTTAAATTATTGTTTATCAAAGAAAAGACAAGTATACCATCAACATTTTGGTATATTCTCATATTTTATAATATGAAATTTTAATTAAATTAATATGAAAACTTTTAATTCTGAGAATTAGTACAATGTAATGTATTTTCTATTATTTTTAGTTTATCGATTGTAATATTATATTAATTAAAATAAAATAAATCAGTTTTAAAGATAATTAGTGTTTATCAAACTATTAAAAATAAAGAGAATTTTAAATTTAATAATATAATAAGAAAAATTTTGTTTTTGGTGTGAGATTTGGTGTTTATGGTTGGAGATAGAAAAAAAAATAGAACACTAAAACACCAAATTTGGTGTTAAAATTTGGTGTTTTGGTGTTCTATGGTTGGAGTTGCTCTTAGTCGCTTAACAACATTAATTTCCATGGGTCCCTTTGAATTAAATTACATTGGATTTTTAACTAACACTACATATTTAATTCAATTTGTTTAGATGAAAATGGTAGTTGTCGAAAAAAAAAAAGATGAAAATGGTAGAATGGGCTTTTTATATAAATGGGCCTAAATGTACCCGACCCGAGTAGAAACTATGGATGATCCGATAAACTGGTTCAAGAGAATACTCTGAAATCATTGGCGCCAACAAAAGCGAACAATCTCTAAACATTGCTGCTTCGTCGTCTTCAGAAGATCTTCATCAACGAGTTCGGTGAGAAAATTCCCCTTTTTCACATAGTATTCTGGGTTTTTTTTCCTCGTACAGATTGATTTGAATTTCGTATCACATTCTCCAAATTTCTCTCTTTATTGGTTTGATTGGAGCGAAACTTGATTTTGTCAATTTCATGTGCTCTTGTTCATTGTTTGATCCATAGAAGTAATGGTTTCAAAAGATAAATCTAATTTGGTTGATGCAAAGTTTCCCCAATTGGTATTTAGGGTTTCCGATTTTGTTTATCAATTTGGAGATTAGTGAGGTTAGTTCTAGAGTACTGTTACATTTACTGCTTTTTTTTGTCAGGTTTAATTAGTGTGGTCACTCATTTCCTTTGATCATTCTCTTCATGTGATCACTATAACATCGAACCAACCCTTTTAGTATTATTTGATTTGACCATATGGTGGATTCATGCTCGGACCCCATTCGCTTTATAACGTTTCTTATACTTGTGACCGCTCTCTTTTGTTCTCCTTTCGGTGGATTATATTAGTGCATGTTTCTCTCATTTGTGGACCTTGATATTTTTCTCCGGGGCTTCGCATTGTCATACCCTACAACTTAAATTGTGCAATAACAAAACAAGAAGACTCTTCTACCTCTGGAAGGGTACATTATGTTATGATATGCTTTATATAAAAGTGTAGTAACCCTTATGATAATAATCAGTAAAAATAAGCTAGTGGCAGAGCCTGACTTTAATAATAACCTTGAAAGTTCTTAATGGTAAAGATTAAGACATTTCTCCTAGTTGACTAAGAGTATTGGCCACCTCCACTAAACTATTGCTTTAAGCCTTTAAGTGATTTTCCTTCTCATCATCATGTACATTAGATTTTCGAATTCTTTATGTTTTTTTATTTTTGTTTTCCTATGTGAGTTTTTTCTGATTTAATAAAATTGGCTGTTATCTAACACCTTTTCATTGGCTTGTAACTGTGAAATATAAACATTTAAGAGTTCAAGATACGAAGAAAGTAACATTTTTCGTAATATTTACAACTTTACTGTTGAAATGCTAAACTTG